GTATTTTCGAAGGCCTGGCTGTTTCACTTCAAAGGTTTTCAACTCAGTGGAATCCATCAGAGCATCGAGCTTCTTTCCTACACGTTTCAAACCCTCTCTGTTTCCAGAAATGATAAAATCATCATTGTCTTTTCCCTTTTTAATACTCACTACAAAATCTTTCAGTTGATTCTCTATGGTGCGTAGATCTTCTTGACGTAGCTCAAGAAGATACCTTCGCATAATATCAGACGTGCACACAAAACTTTCCTCCCTGATGCAATTGTTTTCAAGAAAGGTATTTAACTTCTTTATCACTTCGGTGACGTCATCACGAAACCCAGCTACGTATGTATCGTTCCAGTTGTCCCTCTGGACACGGACAGCCGTTTGGTTCATCTCGCCACACAACCTCAGCCATTCAGATGACTTCAACAAATGCTTGCTTTTCTCGTCCACTTGAACTTTCTCTTCCACCGTCAACTTGTTCACGAGCCCCGCCGCGTTGTTTGCATGCGCTGCTGATGATCCCACTATGGTGGCGTCTTTCTCAATAACGAACACTGCTTCCACGTTGTTTCTTTCCAACTCGCATTTGACAGTCTGAAGCCCCTCATCTGAGTTTAAAATCTCCAGGATGCTGACGGATAAAGTTGGTTTCTTCTCAACCATATCAGCCATTTGTTTGTAGAACTTCATGGTTGCCTCAGTGAATTGTGGCTGGGGACCTTCGAAATATATTTCTTCACCTTCAGTATTAATCTTGATCTCCAGCTCCTTGTTCTTTTCTTGGAGTTTCTCGGCAAATTTTATCTTCTTCAGCAAAATTAGGCGCTCCTTAGGAACATTTGGAATTTTCTTCTTCAGGTAAGTTTTTCTGGTCTCCTCGCGGTATATTTCTTCCAACTTTGACTTCACCTTATCCTCGTTACTTTTCACGTTTGTTCCTAATGAAACGATCCTAACAATATTTGAATCAGGAATAGTCTTGATCAGCGGGGGATCAACTCCTAAGCAGGTGCGAATGCTGGGAACTTTTGCTATAACGGCTTCCCAGAAATCCTTGTTGACCTGCACATCGCACTTCTCAAACTTGCCGAGATAATTTTGTACTTGGTCAATGCATTCAGATTGCCATGAATCACTGTCATCTTCCCCACGGTACACTATTACAGCCATTTTGCTGTTGGGTTTCAAGGTGATTTCGCTCTTTTTTCCAGACAGTGAATTGTTCAGTTCAGCTTGGAATCCTGTAGACGTGACGTATTCCATAACATCGGGATCTACAGCTATGTGCAGCTGTTGTGCTTTGGCATCAGGTTTCTGGCTCACTCGAGATTCACTGGCCGCGGTTGCAGTAGCTCCTAAGTTACCAGAATCCTCCGCTCCATCAACTTCTTCGTCTTCTAGAAACTCTCGGTAAGCTCTAATTGACAGCTGGGTTTGTTCAATCTCATAAGGTTTCTCTTCATGTCTGGTTAACACTCTTTCCATATCTATTGATTAAAGCAACTAGGTGTCAGGAATTTCCTTGAGGAAGTTGTTTGTCCTTTCACAACACTTCACGACACTTTAATTTGAGAGAGAGACGCACAGAGTAAGGACGATGGGGTTGTTGGGGCGGAGTAGATCAATCAATCAATCAATCAGTCAGTCAAACAATCGATCAATTCACGATCTAAATACTAATTCATCCCTCCTTAAGTCTAATGTGTAACTCAAGTCTTAAATCGGGGCAATCAATATTTGCTACGTATGTTCGAGGATTAGATGTCGATTATTCGTGCCTGAGGGAATTACACTATACTTATCTTTTAGAGATCAGTGACCTACAAACCTTTTGCATCTTGAAACACAACCACAGCTTGACTACTTTTAGGAACATGGTGAACCTTCTCCACAGGACCCCCACCATTTCGACGACTCTCAAAGTGCAGTTCAATAAAATCATGGGTAATGTCTGAAAAGCCAGTGACAAGGATGCTTTTGCAAACCGGGACTTGTTGAATGGAAACCTTTGCATCATCCAGACGATTCTCCTCGCATTTGGTCTTTATTTTCGTAAAATCTAAAGAAAACAGGTCATATTCTCATCAAATGTTTGTCTCCACTTTTGGAGTTTTCCTGAAAGGAACAAAACTCATTGAATTACATGTACTGTTCCCAAATAAATTGAGTACATTGATCTGCATTATTTGTATAGTTTAGGGAAGAAAATCGAAATGTCTTTAAATGATGGGACACCTAAAATAAAGCATCTTAATTCTTCAGCTACTAATTAAGCATACAACAAGTTTAATCGATGAAAAGTTAATTTCATAGAATTTGAAGATAAGTTCACTGCTTGAAACTGAGAGGATGAAACTGAGCCGGCGTGAGCTTTCATCCCTGATAACTCGCGAACAGATCAAAGAAGTACGATAAAGAAATTCCTGCTTACTCTCCAAGTTTAATTGAAAGGTACGTACCTTTGATTTCATCAGCCATGGTGACCAAGGCTTTTCCATTCTTCAGCATCTGTACGTCCTTAACTTCTTCCCCGCCACTCTTTACCTCGATAAAGTTCACCAGTCCGTCCCGAGAGGTTTTTTCACTCAGCCCTTGAATGAGTATTTTATTTCTTTCAAATTGAGACTGATCAGCAAGCCCCTCTTCTGCGATACTAGACATGCTCTGTGCTCGTCTAATCCCAGTTTGACCAGCATCTCTGTTACCACGTCGGTTTCGTGCCCTACCGCAATCTCCCTGTCTGTTTTTGCTGGGTTTACTTTGTCTGAACTTCCCTGCATCCGAATCATCGAAAGAACTGGCGGTTTTACTGCTGAAAAGCTCCTTCAAGTATATTGGATGCTCCTGATTTTCATGAGAATCTCCTCCTCTTCCATTTTGTTCGTTCGGTTGTATTTGCATAAACTGAGAGTCATCTTTAGCATCTGAAAACTGATTGCTCTCCTGAAAATCTCCCGGAATTTCATGTTGCTCTTGGAAATTTCCACCGTGTCCCCTACCCTTTTGCTTCGGTTTTGGTTTTGGTTTTAATTTTGGTTTTGGTTTTAATTTTGGTTTTGGTTTTAATTTTGGTTTTGATGGAGGTCCTCGACCGCCTTGACCTCCACGTCCCATTCCTTCAGGTTTTGTAATCAATGACCTTCTTTCAGCTGGACTTTTAATAACGTCCGCAGGATTCTCCATATCTTGAAACTCTTGTAGGTTTTGACGTGCTATTACCAGATTTCCTTTCACGTCATCTCGACGGAGAACTATCTTGATAAGAACTGGTGGCAAACAACTGAATACCTCTTCCAGTTGCTTTGATTTTCGTTCAAATTCTCCTGGGTCTTCCTCTTCCTTCTCCAGCCCTTCTCGCTCGTTCTTGTCGACATCAGGTGAAAAACCCAATTCCTTATCAACATTCTTCTCAACTGTTTCACGAACTCCATCATCCCCTTTGTCAGCAAAGTCACTAACATTAAAAGAACCAAGATCTTCATTTCCTTCTTCTCCTTGTTGTTGTTTTTGTTCTTTTTCTTCTTTTTCCTCCTCCTCTTTTTCTTCTTCTTTCTCTTCTTCTTTCTCCTCTTCTATTTCTTCTTCTTTTTCCTCGTCTTTCTCTTCTTCTTCTTCTTCTCCTTCTTTTTCTTCCTCTTTCTCTCCTTCTTCTTCTTTTTTTTCTTCTTCTTCATCTTCGCTGCCTGTGAATGATAAAGTGAGGAACCATTCAGTATTTATCAATGGTGGCCCTGAGATACATGTTATACCTCTCAAATTCAACTAACAAAAAAAAGGAAATACACCTTATTTAGAAGTGCCCCAAAAATCATTGAAGGTGATAATACAGGATTCTCTTCCCTTCTCTTTCCCAGAAAATCAGTTAAGTTGATAATTTACGATTTTCTCCCCTCCTCCTTCTCCCCACCCCCACTGGAAATTTTTCCTTACCACCCTGCGTTTCAAATGGTCCTGTGGCTTTTTCCGCCATTACCGTACACGATCTTGCTACAGTGAGGGTCGCCCACTGACTTTCTATGGGAATGCCTCTTCGAACTTACAATACAACGTTTCATTACACTGCAAAATTCAACGTAACAATCTTAACGTTAGAGAGACGAATCGATGTTATGAAGAGAAAAACCAACGATTCGAATGGGGTTAGATAAATTATGCTGGTGTAATTTGGGGCATGATACTATGGTTAGAGCATCGAACATAATGCCAGCATAATGTCTAAACTTATGAAAAAATTCCTTGATTTTACAGTCCAAAAAGAGATAAATTCTTTAGCCTGAGTAAAGTCAAAAGTGATCCCGCTTTTCCTGTTTGAACTTTAGGAATTCGAATGTTCTGATCTGAACTAAGCTTTTTACTCTCAACAAGTTTTACCTGTTAGTGATAGGAATGGTGGGCGGGGTTGAGGAGCTCTTAAAAGCTAAGCTGTTATATGCCTGAATAAAGAAAACAGCATCTCCATGTGTTTACTTCATTTTTGAGTTATTAAAAAAAAAAATAGACCCTGTGAGCAGGGTAACTGGGATACCTGGATGGTACTAGATCCTTGGGGTCAAGTGTAGTGATACTACGGGCGTCGGACTAGTATACTGAAATAGTGAGCTCAAGTCTGGCCAAGGGCATACACCTATTTCAGAAAAGGTTGTCATCAGGCGATAGGTGATAGGTCATTCCAATACGGAAAGGAATCATGGGTATACAACTCAGTAAACAGTTCTTGCTGAGTGTTCTACATTTGTTTTTTTAACTCGATAAAAGTTTTTCTGTATAGTATTCTGTTACAAACAGAGCACATAAAATATGAACCTTCCCTAATCTTACTTTGAAAAGCTGTGATCTTATGATCTCAATCATGTTGAACTGAGTTTCTACGGGCTTCCTTATTAGCTTGGACTTGTCATATAATCTTATCTT